TCCATCGCGAGCTTACTCCCCACCATCTCATCAGGCTTCCCTGACAATCGCCATTATCCATTTATACTCCTGTGCAGAGAGAGACGCTGTGGAATTGTTATACCGAAGATCATAACACAATAAGCCGGCCAAAACCTCTCTACCAGAAGTCTAGTCCATTAACCGTCAGGCCCCCCTGTCACCTACCTACCACTTATAAGTTAAAATTTAATTCTAATAGATTTTTTAAATTAATTTTTTTTTAATATCGTTTGTGGTTCGTTCTGGTGTATTTCAGGTCTAACTGCTAGGAATCTTTCAACGTTATCGCCTTTTGGAATGATGCAGCCTCTTTCTATTTTAACCTGCGGAGCAGGCGACGTAGTAATATCAAGTAGAAGATGTTCGAAGAGGAGTCACTTACTCCACGCTGTCACTACCATTTCCGACACTCGAGAAACTGTTCTCCTGAAGCAACCAGTTTTCCGATGGATTTCTTTTCAAGAGAACAGTGAATTTTCCGGGACAGCTTTTCAGAATATCTGGCGAGTGGGGTTTTAAGGTCGGAAATTTATTTCCACACCCATGAGACGCGTTCGACCGAGATATTTTGATGAAGTTGGTACTCTTAAGTCTGCCTCTGACAAATTTCGCTAATCAATGCTTCAGCGCATGCTTCGCAGGCTAACTTGTTAATAATCATGTATTTAAGGGAATAATGACCGTCAGATAATAAAAATACTGTGACTAAAATATAGAGGTTTTCTCTCTCATTCTTGAACAACTTAGTTCTCTGCTTATATGTTCTATATTTTATGAACGATCGAGTCTTAGCCTAAGTTGTAATTAAATTAACACAAGCTCTTGTGGCCAAAATAAAAATTCAAATTGGATTTATAAGCGAACTTGTACGATCCTCATAGTTAGGTTTGCAGATTTACGAACATGGCAGTGTCCCCTCCATTTGTTCCTTTGTTTGTCACTTTTGAACCAGCGAATACTAAATTTTCGGACTGGCAAGGAAATGAAGTTAAGGAATAAAACAAAAGTAGTAATTTTAAACGTCTAATTCTGTCGCTGTCACAGACTCGATCGGGTATACTTACCGCGCAGCCCCCGTACCATTGTAAAACAAATCTGTTTTCCCGATGGCAATGTATTGTTTTTGTCATTGTTTTCTCTATCCAAGAACTGAATGCATAATGTAGTATGGGGCTGTGCGGAAATTTTACCCTCGATCGATATAAACATGATAGTTTATTTTCAGTTGATGATGTAAGTTAGTCACTATAAGGAGTTTTTTTGCGCTGAAGTTTCGAGCGTTAGCCCTTCGTCCTTGCCTTATCAATTCAGTTGGTAGTGCCAAATAATCCTGCAATGGTAACACAGTTTCTTTAGAAAATTATCCCATTCATTCCTTTGTCGATATAAACATGCATTGGTTCCTGTATCCTTCATTATGTGTATTGTTTGGGCAGATGATGTTTATCTTGACTTAGCAATATATTCTTGTTTGAATAAGCAAATAAGGGTTTTCTGACTCGTCTCCTCGTTATCACCTATTCAGTTCTCCTCGTGAGGTTCGTCTGCCGAAGAGGTTAATTTTAGTTCGCAACACAATAAACATGCTATTATAATGTTGGAAGAGTTTTTTTTTTATGTAAGAACATTTTATTTTCCTGTCTGATGACTGTTATTTCCGACCCAATGTTTTCTTCAAGTTTTTTCTTTTCCCAACAACTCCTTCCTGTTACAGAGGGTTTTTTTACCTCCTGATTTTGCCCTTTCCTCCAACCTTTAACAAACGAAATACACATTTATTTTAGCCAAAAAAAAGATCTTTTTATTTTATCGGTTTATATTAGCAATTTAGTTGTTAAACTTGGCCTTGACTATTTTTTTTGAGTACAAAAAATGCATCGAATGATAGATAGACAGACAAATATCACACACATCTTATCGGTAAGAAAACAGTCCACTTACAATGTAGACTTCACTAAGTAAATAGTTTTTGGGAAAAAAATTTCAATTTGAATACGACGCCATGGGTCGATGATCAAAAAAAATTCAATTTGACTACAAAGCCATGAGGTCGGTGATCACAAAGTCTGCCTTTCTCAAGCTTTCAAATGCTATTTTCCAACTGTTTTCTTTGCAGACATGATAATGCGTTTAATTTCAACCCGTCATATTTACCTGATCAGCAGTTTGAGTGACAATACTTATCAGTAGGGAGGAGTAAAGTTCATTACAGGCATACAGCAGTGTGTCAGCCTCGAATGTGAGAAATTTATGGCATTTGGAGCAGACAAGTTTATTAGAAATTTCGTTTCTATTGATATGGCCGACCGACTCATCTATGATAGCATCTCGCCGCGTTAGCCCACCGACTTCTACAGTGATTTGTAAAATTTACAAATGAGAATTTATTGTTTGCCTCTGGGCTTGCAACATTGGGCCCGTGTTTGTTTTAGATCATGGTCTTACTGACACAGCTTTATTTCTTCAAGCTACACACAAACTAAACAGTAAATCCTACTTTCTTTAGACAAATATTCTTAAATGCAATTATTTTCATCCTTCAGTGTTTGCCGTTTAAGTCAAAATAAAGTAAACATATTGCTACCTGTTTTTCGCGGTAACAGAATCCTTTCAAACGTCTCGCTTGCCTGATAGGTAAGATGAAGCACACTTAAGGTAAGAAATTGTTGGACCGTTTTTGGTTTTATCGGATCAGATAAGAAGTTATTGGTAAAAGGTGCGATAGCTTTAATAGGACTCTCTAAATATATCATTGTCGGAATCTGTGCAAATAATACAAATTTCACTTTCCTTAGCTGAGAGATGGTTTAAGCTACTGATTTCGTTTTGGTATTTGGCAGACATATTTCATCAATATGGCTCAAGGTAGAATACGGCTGTGAAAATCCCTCCCTCCCTTCATTTAGCGAATATCCTGCGCGGCCAGATCTTTCGGCAAGCGCTAGGACATTAATAGCCTAATGAACCAACAAAGGGCCAATTTTTCGCAAAAAAGTCATTCCGATTTATCAAAACTGTTTTCTCTCAGAATCACCCAAAACACATAGCATATTCTTACAGGGGCGATACTTTCCCCTGTAGATGACTTTTTAAGTGGAAAACGTTTCACACATGTCACATATTCCTCTAAGAGTACGTTATTATAAAAAGTTCTGTGGTAATTAATATTTTCTCATACTGGTGCTATATTGGAAGTCTTTTCATTAAAGATTTAGAGAGAAGTTCTAATGCAAATTGTTGCATTTTTTTATAATTTTTCTGTCTGAGGTAATCTATCACAAAAATGAGGCTATGAAAAATTAGGGCGCACGAAAATTTTATTTCTTCTTTTAAGTACGCGGAGCACTAAAACGCCATCTTTCAGTCTATGCAAGAGATGTTGGAATACTCATCCCCAAGCGATCGTGACGTATAATTTTATGACAGATCATGAATTCAAATCAATCAACTTCATTTCAAAATTTATTTCGAAGCACTTATTTCTTTCAATGCCAAAGTTTTATCGAAATCCATGAGATATTAGGGCATCTTCCAAGATGCAAAAGTCTTATTTTTTCAAATAAAAAAAAAGTTCAAATCAATATCAAGGAAGTTGTTAAGTAAAACCTGCTTTTTATTAATTACTTGCTGACAATAAGCCGACACAGTATCCATGACAACTACGATCATGAATGGCTAATACAGATTGTGGTATCTCGCCTTCGCCAAGAACTGATAAGATCTTGTAAAAACAGTCGGAATTCCTATATTTCTTTCATTCAATGAGACTATGAAAATACTTTTTTTTCATTCAGGTAACAGTCTAGACATATCGTGCTGATCAGTATTTCACTTTACTGAACACATTATCCGTAACTAGGCAATATTTTCCCATATCAGGTATCTGTCCCGTTATAACACAATATCCGCTTCAATAAAACATTATTCATCATTAGAAAGCATTCAGCTGTAATTAGGTGATCTGTAGCTTAATTAGACATCATTCTCTGAATTGACAGGAGCGATTACTATGGATAACTTCAGTTTCAGTATGATTTAAGGTTATACTTACCAAACTTTAAACTATAACATAATAGAAGAAATCGTCTCTTAAGCGTTTTTTTATTTTTTTTTGCAATTCTGTAGTTCATTTTTAGCAAGTAGAGTTTCTTTAATGATAACTTAATAGTAAATAATATACCACTTAGCGTTTCAAGATAAACCAATAACCGTATTTGGGATGTAACTGTATATTTTTTATCAATAGATCTTCTTTGTTTTGTTTAGAGATCTCTTAACTTCCTAGCTTTTATGTAACCTCTGGTCGTTCCATTGTTTCTTATGCAATTGTTTCCATTGTTATAGTAATTATATCGTGATTTTTTTGGAAATTTATCAGTAATAGACCCATTTTGAGAGTGTAAATAGAAAGTGTATATTTGATAGTCATCAAACGCAAGAGCTGCAAATGCGTCGTAAGAAGACACCTTGAGGAATCAAACTATTAAGGGATTTTAGCCGTTAAAGGTGAGTATGGCTTGTTGCTTCAGCTTTGTTTGAAATGGCAGGACACTTACAAATGGTTATTTTGGCACGCCATACTCTCGAAATTCTTCTGAACTCTTGATTTCAATAGCTTGTTTGTGAGGAGTAGCGAAAATCTACGCTATTTCGCTTTTTCCAAGCAGTCAGTTTGTGGGGAGGGGACGACTTGTCGGTCTGAAAATCCCTGTTGGTTTTTGTTCCACTCACTGGTAGTCTAGCAGTTTCCTTTCGGGCATAAACAGAGAGGGCCATGGATTATCCTTATCAAAAAGTAATATCTTCTAATAATAATCTCCTTTGATGCACAATCCCTCTTTTAATTTATCCTCTAGAGTGGTGTTCACTTTTATGTCTTGTTCGCCTTCTTAGCCTCATTCTTTTTAATCCAAGGGATGCTCATTTTAAGTTAAACAATCTACTCGTCTTATTATCGCCGCTGCTATTGTTTTAGGATGGGCTGGTATCATCCGCTGTTGGCGTTTCCAGTTCTTATGATTGTGTTTCTCTCCGGAGGTAAGACACTGTTGAGGCTCTAATGATCACAGATCTCACTTTTTCCGTTACAAAGTATTAATGTGAATGGTCAATTTGATTTCTTTTCGATCAACAGCTTTTGCACGAACGACGCACCGAAATGTAAGTCGATGAAACATTAGTTTTATAGTTGATCTCATTCGCATGTTGAAGGTGTCAGACGGATGATATCTATATACCCATGTTTTTGTGATAGTTTTGTTCATATGTTATTTTTATTTTTTTAATAACTGTTCTCACCGCAGACGCTTCACCATCATATGACAGAAAATGATCTGAAGTACTTTTTCGGTGTTGATAATCATTCAGAAGGTAACTTAAGCAATAGAAAACATTTTCGTCATTTAACAATAACCTAAGTGGGATGATGGACGAACTTGAGAAAATTTCTCAAGCTGGAGGCGTGGAATTTATCAACTTTTCTAGAGTTCAACTAGTTGAGGGGGTTATTAGGCCGGTCATCCAATAGAAAGTGTGGTCTATTGCTTTTATCAAATGAACCTCAATTTTTATGAGGTTTAACGGCACAAGGGAAGGATAGGTTTTCTGACTAATCAGGGCGTTCGTAGTATTTAGGTATTTGATAAACATCCATAAAACTGAAGACCATATCCTACTGCTTCCGTTGATTGGTTACTATTGCTAATGGCATCTTTTATATGTTATTCAAAGTTTCCATAACTGTCCACTTTTTAAGAGCAGGGAAAAGGTGGTTTTACACTTGTAACTGTTCAACTGAAGCTACCTATTATATTTCTCTTTCGCTGTAGTTCCCGAGTACGATGTAACCACCCCTTATCAACTCAACGAAAATTTCAAAGGTTTCGGACGGCGTCAACGGCGGGCAGAGGAATCACGTGAAAACATATTTTACAAAGTCAAGGCATTTGGGCGGGAATTGCACTTGAACTTAACATTGAACAAAAAGCTGATGTCTCCTGACCTCGTTGCGGAGACGATATACGCTGATGGCACGATATCATACTCTCCCCCACCCCCAAACAATTACTACCTTGGTAACGTGATGTCCGATCCCTATTCAATGGTGGCTGTTAGTGACAACGGAGGGCTGGTAAATTAATGTAAAATGTTTGTCTCAGTTTTCGAAACAGAAGTGTATTAGATAAGCTCGATAGCTGGCGACAAAATAGAAAGAAAAAGTTTAACGGGTAGGATTTCAAATATTATCCATGTGAAAATGGAGCTTAGTAACTTAATCAGTTGAACCCTAGCAGAAGCAACGAGCCATTTCTATAGTTAGATCTTTATACGATACGCATAAATTAAACATGTTTTTTAAAAAAATTAATTTTATGATTATGCAGTTACACAGGGAATATGACGATAATATCAGAAGACATTTATCTGATATATAATGGAACCTAGAGGAAAAGTGAAATTGGTCAACTCAGTTGGGCTACTTATTGACAGAAAATGCCATGTTTTATGTGTCTTTGTTGGGCTGCGTTTAGACCGTTTGTTCTAATTTCCATTCCATTCTTATTTTAGACTGGTATGCTGAAACTAGCCAGCGATACCTTATTCATTCACCCGTTACCGACCCATCTTGCAAAGCGGGCTGCGTCGAGTGAAGTTAAGACACCTCATTTGATTTACAAGAGGTCTCTTCCAGTTGAATTTGATCCGCATGATATGAGGAAAGGTATTACACTGTATGGTATCTATTAACATTTCTTTACACTTTGTAAGAATCCAAGAGACGATAACCTATTTTTTAAAACGAAATATTAATTCAAGTAATGATAGTGCCAGTTTTATCTCCAAGGCCAGCAAAGACTTTCATTTCCTGGTATCTTTACTGTTATACTGTCAAAGCCATCAACAGCTCGATCATAAATGTAAACAAGAAAATCAGCCGTGACCAGTAGTTAACTTAAATTCATAGAAACAGGCCACAGCTCCCTTTTTGAAATTCTGCAAAAAAAACTGCCTTTCTTCAAGCGGTAACCTGTCTAGCTTTGAGTGGTTAGGTATGTTAATGTTAAAGTTTTGAGAAGTTAAAGGTTTTTCAACAACGAAATCAAGTTAGACAACCTCTTCTTAGGAAAAAAGCTGAAAGAGAAGTTAAGCAATGTTAACGAAACAAGTTTCCATATTTTACTTCATCTACCTTTACAGTGTTTAAACCACGAAGGAAGATACCGGACAGCCTGGAGGTACAAGATAAAGGAAACTTGACGATAAAAACCATGGAGGCTGCTTTAATGCTCGAGGCGGCTTCGGCGGCAACATTGGAGACTGAAAAGCACGACCCAAAGGAGTTTCTCCTTTTATTAGGAAATACAGTAAGTTCTAGATTTAACATCTTTTTGTAAACTTTGATTTGATAAACACCATCCTACATATCTGGAAGTTGTGAAAATCGCTTGCTACCACATACAAACATTGTAAGGAGTGACTCGTACTTGAATCATCATTGGGAACTCACAGAAGTGTCTTTGTTCCGCACCCTCGACAAATAAATTCCTAGTTTTAATTTACGTTCTATACTTTCCTTCTGTTTGAATTTTGAACTTGTTATTTACTGGTTGAAACCAGAATTTTTATTTCTTTACCCACCCATTATCTAGGAGAAAGAAAGACATTGACTTCCGTCGAGCCTGCTTAACTCTTGAAATAAAATTTGACAATAATTAACCTTTTGCTGTAAATATTAAAATGTGAAGCATTCTCTCGTCAATATAATGCAACAAGAAGTGGATGTGAATGAAAATGTTGAGTGAAGAAAGAATGCATTGACAGGTCCATACGCTTTTTGAAAAGATTCTGCGAATTTCATTCGGGTTTCTCTTTTCAAGATTTCAGGACTCTTCATGGACCCGAGCATTGGAGAGATCCGTATTTATTACAAAGTTACGCGAATCATCGTTATCGACAAGAAGGTAAACCAAAATAGCAGACTTTGAATTAAAGAAATTTTACTAACAACCAGAAAAGACCAACAAATGAGTGAAAGTATGTGACCAAAGAACAACTGGTTTCGTTAACAAAGCGAACTTTGGAAACTGAAACCATACTCTAGACTCGCATGAATTATCAAGAAATAAAAAATCAGCTCTAAAATTGCATTCGGTGCCGTTTTAAATGTTACATCTCTGTCTTCTTCAGGTGTTCGGTGCGGAGTTCTCAGAATCTAAAACTCAATGGCTGTCGAAGTTTGCTAAATATATAAAATCCCACCAGACTGGCAGGGAAGATGTGTTTTCCCTTGTGTACAGGTAAAGCAAAGTAAACGATGTACAAAGCAAGGTGCACATCTTAAAACTCTCTCTGTCTGTCCATCAGCAAGTTAGTAAGTCGCTTAATTCATTTATACTTAAATCAATTCATGCTTGCTTGCGCTTGAAGTTCGATGCTGAAAACAATAAGCTAAACAAACGGCAAAAAATCGAAGTCTGAATTGTTTACTGCAGACATTTTGTTACTCTACTTTCCGTCCGTATTTTTGTCTTTTCCACATTAGGCTATTATCACATATTTTACGTGTTTTCATGCCCTAATATGGTAAGATGACGTAATAGTGTAATAACAAAGATGCTAAAAAAAATACTTATTACTTATTCTTCTTTATTATTCAGCATGGAATCAGGACTTGGTGGTAAGTACAATGCAACTCTTATAAGTTACATATATAGGTTATATTTCGATATTCCTGGTAATTCACACGTAAATCCTCATCGATCGGCTTGCTGGGCTCATTAAGAGATCGATTTTACCCAATTTTGATCATAATCCAAATTAATAAAGGAGGTAACTTTCTAAAGAAACTGTGGAGCTGCGTCGTTGGGAGAGTATAGCAGGGTAACCTAGTATTATCACCTGAGTTGATAACGCAAACTGGCCACCGTAAAGAGTTTCAAAGCTGACGTTTCGAGCGTTAGCCCTTCGTCAGAGTGAAACATAGGACTCGCCGACGCTCGAAACGTCAGCTTTGAAACTCTTTACGGTGGCCAGTTTATGTTATCAACTCATTTGATAATACTTAATTACCCTGTTGTTATAAGCACTTGATCGATCGATATGATCTCCATTTGTGTAGGGATACAGCTCGCTTGGAGGAGGCGTTTGCTCCAAAAAATCATACGAATTACCAGCCACATAGGAGAGTAAATATAAAAACTTTACCACTGACCGTATTTTGAGATTCCAAAGAGTGACAGCACCGTTTGAAAGTTGTCTTAAAATTCGACCTTGGTGTTTGCCATTTTAAATTTCGCTTCGCAAACCCTGCTGCTCACCTTAACGTGGGTGGACTATCTCTGTTAGCGCGTCCATTAACACAGTTTGGTTTGTACTTGTTCTAAATAAATCAGGATTGGCTCCGTTCAAGACCATATGTAACGGCAGAGCGACAGAAAACGTAAACAACATGGTGGGCTTACAAACAGCTCTGATAGTGACTCATGAAACTGGTCACAAGTAAGGCTTATTTTCAATGCAGTTTAAGTAACCGAAGGACATACTCACCTAAATACCACTGTTCCCTGACAGAGCCATGTCTCTTTTTCAAATTATCAAGAACAGAAAACTGTAGAACTGTCGAATTTAGTTTAGTTTAGTTTTAGAGGGTCTTACTGGGGTAAACCATTAGCCGTAAAACGGAAAAATAATTTAACTGTAGTTTTGACAAATTTTAACCTTAAGTCATAAAATAACTAACCCGATTTTTTTTAGCTTTTTAATTTAAAAATTAATCGCATCGGAAATAAATTAACCGGAAAATTGCCAAAATGTTAAGCGTTAGCCGTAAGGGCTATCACCCTTTTGAGAACCTCGCGTAACAAACAAAAGCTGATTGTCTTTGCGTAATGTATTCATGGAAGTTTGTCAGTTACGAGCTGAAAGCGAGTGGTTTACAAGTTTTCCGAGTGTTCCTCCAGCATTTGAAGTGGGTTTTTACGCTGTTAATAACGACCTTTTCTTAAACAGCTTAAAAAATTTTTAGTTTTTTTTAAATTTCGTAAACTCGAAAGCAAGCTTCCTGAAGTGAACCAAATTTTGTCTGTCTTCTAAGTTTGTATTCTGCTAGCAATATATTCCAAGATATTTCAATCGAGCTCTATCGTCAGATAAGTGTAGCACCAATGATCATCATGTCCTGTGTTTGGGGAGAGAGCATAACTTCAGAGACCAACTCCCCATGAAAGGCCTTCTTTAATTTCGTTCTTTTATGTTAGTCTACTTTTGACTAACACCAGTCAAGAATAAAATGAAAGTCAGTGAATAAATATTGTTGTCTCTAGCATGGGGGTGGATCATGATGAAACAGACGAGTGTCCTTCTAGCACTTACATCATGTCCGCGGTGCTCCCTGGAGGCTCCAAAGCTGAGACATGGTCCAACTGCAGTATGAGAGTCATTCAAGAACTTCTCAGGTAGATATTGACCCAACTTGTAGGGTGATTTCCAAACTGGAAATCCTTGGGTACTCATAGGTTGACATTGTTTAATAATGCACAACAGATGGTTTTAATGAACTAGCGTTTAATGTGACGACAATGGTAAAAAGAATATCTGCTAAGATACTGTAGAGTTAAACGAGGTCTATCATTATCTTATCGAAACTGCTGTTTGCTCGAAGTCACTTCAAATATTTCTATCAGATCTCAGCTCAACGTGGGCAATGGCCATTTTTCCCTTGACAACCTAGTAGACTCCCATAGAATGATATGGTACCTTTTTCATTTTTATTTTCCATTTTGAACGAAGATTCTCTAATCAAAGCACGTTGTAGACGAACTGTGTGCTATTACTGCACTCTTGAGGAGTCATCGTAACCGTAACGTTAAGTGTGTAGGTATGATCCAAAGAAATACCGAGCACTTCCCTCATTGTAACGGGGCGGACGCTGATATACATCGAATCAAACTTGAACAACGCCGCTCAGAGAAATGTTTTATATTAACGGAACCTCCCAGCGTCTATCAAATCTCAGTTGGTTTATCAAACTCGAAAGCTCATAAAAACTGAAATATAATAAACTAACCATACAATATACGCTAATCGGAATGTCCTAAACTCGAACACGCGGGGCGTGTATATAGATAAATCAAACAACACAAATATCCTAAACGAAACAAAACTACCTTTGATTATACACGTTTCGGTATATAAATACAAAAATAAACAAGATGACATACCTCTTTCCCCGTTCTATTATTCTAGTATTTCGACAATCCTTCGATCTGGCTATGCTTGCGACTAACACGTGTCTCGTGACCTGACGGAATGAGACATAATGCCGACAATTCGAAAGAATGTCACACAAAACAAAAGGGTGTTGAAAGTCACGTAAATCATAACTAAAAATAGCCTTCGTTACTTTCATCTTACGCTCAAATCTCGTTGATGGACACGTTTGGATGACCTCGTTTTTGTTGTGTGGAGAATCACGTTTTATAGCGATTCAGAAAGCTTTTGCAAATTTATTTGACTTTTAACTTTGTCCACGAAATGTGTTTTGCAGAAGTAGCAAGTCAAATTGTTTGAATGAAGAGGCTGAGGACGGCGAAAGGACTGTGGTGTATGAAAAGATTGATGAAGGTGATCCCGACAAACGAGAAGTCAGTATCAGGGTAGCACGCGATATAATAGAGACAATTGATCCTAGCGAGCTTTACGCAAATAATTTTGTATTAAAACTTCCTGGTGAAATCATGAATGGCGATGATCAGTGCGTCTTACAGTATGGACTTGGTTTTCGACAATGTTCTCGATTTGCGGTAAGAGATTCTCATCTAAAAAACCAACCTTTGATTCAAATGTCTAATCAGTGTTTGTCTTCATTTTGATATTTTTTTTTTTTTTAATTACCAATTGAAAGCAATGTAAAAAATAACATTTATGTTCCTAAAAATATCATGTCGAAGAAAACAATATTCATTTAGTTGTGTATATATTTGTAAACTATTATTTCATTCATCTATTTCTTATGAATCCGTTTATAATTAATCGGTTTTTATTGCGAGCGAAAAAAGGAAGTTGTTCGGAAATACACTTTCTGATTTCTAAATTTATTCAAGAAAGATATGGAAAAATATAAACAGCTTATAAAATTATGTAGTCAGATTGGCTGAATTTTAAATAGTTTCCAGATAACTGAATAAAACCTTTGTAAAAAGGCGCTGCTTTAACATTTTGTAAAGGTGTCTTATGTCGCTTGCGATGCTTGCTCATTTTGCAGGCAGAGTGTGGTAAACTGTGGTGTACTCCGAACGGATATTGGTGTGATACACGTGCAGCTCCTGCTCTCGACGGGACTCCCTGTGGAAGTAGAAATGTATGTCATTATTAGTCAAATGTTCAAACCCTGCTGCAGTTCGCCATAGGACTCCGTTATTCTAAGACCAGCCAGAAGTGATAAGCAAAACTCCAAAGAGAACTTTTCCAATGCTAAACTCCTGGCTTTAAGAACATGTTTCATTGCGTTCCTTTGAAGTCACTTCAAAACACTCCTGATATCTTTCAGCTAGAACCTAGTTGACTTCCATAAAATGAGATGATGCCTTTTTAATTTTTTTTTCCATTTTGAACAAAGATTCTCTGTTTAAACAAGTTGTAGACGAACTATGTGCTATCACTGTTCTCTGTAGGATTCATTGTAACCGTAACGTTCGGCGTGTAAGTTTGATCTAAAGCAATGCTGAGCACTTCCCTCATCTTATGCTCAAATCATGTTGATGAACGCGCTTGGATGACCTCGCAAGGTCATCCAAGGTCGAACTCGCTGGAGGGGTTCAAGTTTTCTCGTCAGCTTTTCTGTTCGTACAAAGTTATAATTCTCTTGGGACCGAACATAATTTGTGCTTGTATCTAATTTCTTATAGTGGTGCATCAAAGGAGTGTGCGTTGACAACGGTCGGCCCCAGGTCGATGGCTGGTGGAGCGAATGGTCGGACTTTACTCCATGCACGAGAACATGCGGTGGTGGGGTACAACACAGGACAAGATCATGCACAAATCCACCGTGAGTGAAAGAATCATCAATAATTATAATGAATAATTAATTCAGGTAGGGATTCCATTTGAAATCGTGAGATTTCTTCCCCAACGATGATTTCATTTCACCTCGAGATTCCTTGCCTCCACCAACTCTGGCTGTGTGGAGATTTTGCATTAGAAAGCAACTTTGCATTGAGCTCGTCCATTTCACAGATCCGCTGGTTTCTCATAAGATCAAATGACAATTCTAATGCATAAAGTGCAAATAAGTTCGGCTTTTAATCTTGTAAGTGTGTCCGTGCGTGAGCACAAGTTAAGCGATCTTTTTTCCTTCTTCCCCTTTTGCTGATCTTGAATGAAAAGGCCTTCAAATGGAGGGAAAGAATGCCAGGGAGATTCAATTGGGCATTGGAGAATCTGTGAGATCTCAGTAAGTATCGACTGTTCTCTTCGATCTGAGAGTATATCATTTGGAAACATGTTTAGACGAGCCAGATTAGGCAAACCGTATCCGAAAAAAATGAATAGAGGGGAAGGAAGAGCAGAATTTTTCATTTCAACTTCATCATCACGTCAAATTTGTTTCCTCCTGACGAGAAACTGGACAGAATTTTTTTTCCTGAATTGTATTAAGTTTTTCTCATATGGTTTCACTCAATCGTTAGTTTAAAAATAATATGCTTCGCAACAGAACTGTCAATCCACGCAACTGATAAGGAAGATCGTTGAATTCTTCTGGGGTGTGTTATCTTCTCGACCAGACGACTACATTTGCAAAGTTAAAGTTTGAAGTCTCTCCCCCTATTTTTACTTAAACGAGGAGGTTACACATTGATTTCAAAATGAGGTTCATTTCAGCACTGTCCTGGAAGTGTTACAGATACATACCGAGATGAACAGTGCGCGAAGAAACTGGAGGGCTCATCAGCATATTATCATGGAGGTAATACACAGAGCTATGAAGTCCCCTTAACTTTGTCATTTTATCCTCAACAAACTTAGACATCTGTCGAAAAATACGCCGTGAAAACTTTTGGACAGTCAGTTACGCATTTTTATTTCTCAATCGTGTTGAACACCTACGAACTGCTATTAAGTTTTCACGTGAGGAAGAGATTTTTTTTGAAAAATTTACCCTCATTTAAAAGCGTTTCCTCTAAGCAGCTATACTACAAGCCCCAACAACGTTGATAACACAATGAATTTTTGATTATTTTTAAAGAAATTATTACGCAAAGTACCCTTTTCTATCTTCCTTAGGACCATGTGATTTGTATTGCCGGTTGGGATACACTGTCAAGGGATATGGAAAAGTGTTAGATGGTACCAGATGCAGCAAAGATCCCGCCATATTTGATGTTTGTATTGGAGCAAGTTGCAAGGTGAGTTACTCATATGAACAAGAGCCACTTTGACTTGAGGAGTCAACAAAATTTTGCATGTAATGCATATCAAACTCTTTCCCCAGTGCGACGAACATTTGTTTTTCTCGGTTCCAGGTGTACGCAACCACTAACCTCACGTAATGCGCATGCTCTCCGTTATGAATTTTCAAAATGGCGGACAAGCCAAAGAGGGAAATAACTCAACATACTCAACATAAACCCTCGTTAGAAAGGCGAATCCACGGAAGAAATATACAAAACTGTATGATATTGAGATCGATATGATATTAAATCGATGCCGAGGGCTCGTTTCCAACTTGCTATGAAGTGCATTTAATTGCCTTCCGCCACGATCACTAGCTTTCTTGACAGCTTTCTGAAGACAGAATACTTTCTTTCTAAAGACTTCTGATATGCGGCTATTGATTATTACACCTCGTATACCTGATTGCTCAAACACTTTGTTTACGATTGTTGACGAGTAATTTTTTTTAAAGACTAACAAAATTGCACGATCCCGTGAAATAGTATAGATGAGTGGTCTTTGAAAAAATTAACAAGTGCTTGTTTATTCCAAATTGCACTCGAAATCATGTGATTACCTATACGAATATATCAATTCGAAATGAACAACAGCCAGTGCCTTTAGAATTAAGCGACCAGGGGTACTGTTATTTCTCCTGGATGGAGTGGTAGTCTATTGTAGGAAGCTTATCATAATTAAGCATAAGCAAAGCGCGCGCATCAAGTGCAAAAATAATTTATTCAAACCGTGCATTCGGTCAAAACAACCGCCTACGATCAAAACAATAATATGCAATGATATCTTCATATCTTTAAGGCGCAAAAAAGTTCAAAGTCCGGCTAAACAGTTCAAAGAATTGTTCAGCCCGTGTCCGAATCTCTTTCGAGGAAATGGAATCGTCGTTTCCGCGGTTTAACCATGTTTGTTTTAATTTCAGCGTTGGATCACTCGAGCAAAGTGTTAAGCTGGGTCGGCTCGTAATTTTCGATTTCCTTGGCGATTCCCTTCTCTAAACACCACTTTTTCCAAACTGACAACCAAAACGCAGTGTTTTTTACAGTGTTTTCGTTGTTTGAGCTGATTTTCAGCTGCGGTGGCGAAAGAGAACGTACTTAAAACGCCGGCCATTGTTCCGCTCGCAAAATTTCAAATTTTCACATTTTGTTGCGACATCCATGGCTCGCATTTGATTGGCTATCTGTGAGTTTCTTTGATTCTTGACCAATCAGAATGTCTTATTTGTTACTTTCTTTGCACTGAATTAACCCTCTTCTGCACTGAATTAACTCTCTTCTTCACTGAATTACCTGAAAACTGCATTAATCTTAACCAATCAGAACTGATTAATTTTTCTATGTATATTATTAATTCTTAAAACATATTTTGGTGAGGTTTTGTGAGAATCGTTTCCAAGGATAACGAGATATGTGAGGATAAAACCGGGCTCTTTTTGCTAGAATTATCAACTTTATGATTTATAAGGGAAAGTGAATAAAAGATAATCCAAAATGCTGTCAGTTAAAGAAGGATAATCATGAAGCTGTAAGGATAGTGTTAAATCACTACTGTTTTGGTGAGTTTTTTTTTATCTTCTATAAGCTCAAGATTGCTACCAAAGTTTGTTTCTTACTGGGAGATGACTTTTATGTGTTATATCCTTTATCAGGCTGCTGGCTGTGATCAGGTCTTGAGATCAAATGTAAGAATCGACAGGTGTAGTGTGTGTGGTGGCAATGGGAATACGTGTAAACATGTTGTAGACAAGTACATGAAACAGTGGAACCAAACTGGTAAGGAATATTTTGATATGTAATTGACCTTATCCACACAATCTTTCCGCCTTTCTCATCGCACCCAAGGATAAAGAATAAATTAAGTCACTAATTCTTTCTTAGGAAAGGAGAATGCAGATACCATTTATGATCTTCCACCCGGGACAATGTCTGCAAGTTTTATTGAAGTCGCTGCGACGTACAACAAAATAGGTAAGTACTAAATTTCTGAAAACAAGGGTACTACCAATCACATAAGCGATCTACATTTTCAACCCGTCCGAAATATTCAGTCTTCAAAATTGCTCTCGTAATGTTTGTAGGAGTACATTTTGTCCTCTGATACAATAACATAGATAGTTTAAGTTCCTTAGAACGCCTTCATTTCATTTAGAGCAAATGATACTAATTTTCATTTGCAATACAAATTAATGCAAACGTTCTTCTGCAGGTGTCATGTCGAAGGATGGCGACTATCTAATAGACCCAGATAAGGATAAAAATGTTCAAATTACTTATGCTGGAGCTTCTATCTACTATGTAAACAAAAATAAACGTTATGCAGATCAACTGAAGATAATAGGACCAACTCAAGCAAAACTGAGGATAATGGTGAGGGTAAAAAATTACTAGAGACGTGTCCACTCTATAAAGAGTACGAAGAGAGATTAATGATATAACAGCACGTTTGTATGGAGGAACAGAGGCGAAAAGTTTCTTGTAAACATCACCTTACTCTGAGTGTGCAACAAAGCACCGAGAGATAATTTGTTCAGCTTTATCAGGGTGAAAAATCCTTGGGGCGTATAGGAATCATTTGATCACCTTAATTCATGTAGGTTACTTGATCAGTACCACATTTCTACTTTCCTGTGTTTCTCTAACACAGTTTATAGCAGAGTATGGAGAGAATCTTGGCGTTGCTTATGATATCTGGTATCACCTTAACTCCTGGAGTAAGCTGAAGCTCGACTACAAATGGATTGTGGGTGATTGGTCTGAGTGTTCTGCTACATGCGCTAGAGGCAAGTTGAGGAGAATGCATTACAGGTTTCCCGGCACGAAAAATTTAGCCTTATCACCAAAGAATTCATTGTGACTCGGTCGAGAGAGCATTTCAGTGCGGTATACAATGGTCTGAGGTTCTCCTCCTTGTGGAAAACTCTTAACTTTTCTTTTGTTCCCCGCTCTTGGCAAAAACGAATATCATCTTTCTTAGTCTCAAGTCTTTTATTAACATAATTTTAAATCCTCGTCTATTCCTTGTCTACCCTACTTCATTTCTGGTTTATTCCTTCCTTTTAAAATGTTGGTGCTCTTCCACTCCAGCAAATGATCATTTCAAGGTTTTTTTCTGTAATTAGGAATGATAAGTTTTCTATGAAACTACACGTGAGAAAACCAAAGAAAATTTCATCTTGATCATTAACATTGAATAGATAAATAAAATAATAATAAAATAGATACCAGGATCACATTTCGGCGTTCTTGAATCAATTTACGCAAATACTGTACTCATCTAACATCTTGATAAATTCATCCAACAGTGAAATGAACGTTCAATGGTATTTCATTTCTCTTAAGGTGTTCAAACTCGAGAAGTTCGTTGCGTTCTAGAAGAGGATGGAACACCTGCTAGTGACAAAGCTTGTGATAAACTTCTACGACCAGATGATAATAATGAATGCAATCAGCAACCCTGCCCTCCAGAGTAAATATCTTCTCAAGCTGATTTTTTTTTCTCTTTTCTTTCTTGCCTGATCACCTTCATCAATAATTCCAAGTATTAATATTCAATAAGTATAATGACATTCATACCTCCACCGCCACCCAATATGTTTTTTTTTTACAGATTACGGGGCTTACTTGGTGTAGAAGACAAAAAAAAAGAGAAAAAAAACGACGAAAACAATAAAACAATGGAGTAACGAGGCGGTGTTCTGTTGTGACCAGTCCTGTGTCTTCTATACCCAGAAGGAGCCCAGATTACTCTACAAAAATAAAGAAGAAGCTAAAAATTGGCCAACTACTAAAACATGGCTTCGTAACTAAGGTTTTGGTAAGGCGCGACTAGTGTCTGGAAGGCACTGACTCGAATCCCGTCGAAGCCTAAACTTTTTCATGCTTTTTTCTGCCTCTTTTTGTCGTAGCTCACCTGTGAGGATCATTTCTCTTTTTATCAATTTCCATTGAGACGCACTGGATTACACAAAAAGTTGCCACTCTAAACAGCCTTCAAGACAACGTTTTTTCATTATGTAGAAAGTTTGAATCATTCTCATGCCATTTCTCCCAGGTGGATCGTTACAGATTGGTCACCTTGTTCGAAAACCTGTGGTACTGGTGTTCAGACTCGAGAAATGAAATGTCACGAGAAAACGAGCAGTCACCACTATTCTGAAATATCTACCTCTAAGTGTGACCCAAGTAAGCTCCCAGATGTCAGTCAGCTGAGTAGACAGTGCAACCAGATCATTTGCAAGCCAGATTGGAAAATTGAATCAACGTGGACGGCAGTAAGTGATTACTTAGACGATTTATTTTTATGAAGATATTTCGAAGAGCAAAGGAGTTGCACCAGTGGCTTGCGGGCTGACTCTGAATGGGAAGGCCTGGGTTCCTTGCTGGCCCTGATCGGGTCATTACCGGTATGTTGGGATTGTGGGCTCACTCTTACAAGCCTTTCTCCAGCCACCACAACCCTTCAGGAGGAGTTGACTAGCTCGTAATTGCTTCCACCATGATCTGGCAACTGGGTTTAGCTCCGCTGTTGAAGTTTGACTGGCTGGTGAAATTTCTGATTAAGAACATTTTGTTTTTTTAGTGCTCTACTCCGTGTGGTGCAGGCATTCGACAGCGTGCAGTTAACTGTATCCTTATTGATCAAGATGGAAGACCCTCTCAAGTATCAGAAGAACAGTGTTCTTTTCTGAAAAAGCCCAAGGACAAAGAGGATTGTGATAGCAAGCGACCCTGTTTAGAAGGTTGTGAGTTCAATGACATAACAACTGATCACTTGCTGCTAGCTGTGCTCCCTGTTTGTCAGTTTCCCGCGTTTAGGTCTCATAAGCTCAGTAAATTGGAACTGTCTGAGTACCATGGCGATCATTTAGATGTTTTTTATTGTAGATATTTGTATTTTACGGGTGCTCGTTGAAAAAAAAAACTAGGTTGAAGCGGCTTGAAGCAAACAAAGGTGAAACCTACTGATGAGAAATTTTGGTCAATACACCTAATCTTTCTATCAGATCTTTGTAAACTTTTTGAAATCGCCTTTTTCATAATTAAAGTTAAATACATTCAAGAGGAGTATGGTTATGCGATTAAGGTTGTAGCCCGTGACCTTCACAATAGAAAAACTCCTTGAGAACTTGCAAAGAAATTCCGAAACCTAGCGCTTTAGATTCCTTAACTTATCCCAGTTTGATATTTTTTTCATCAGATGGTAACTATCAGTGCTACCCAACTAATCCATGTCAAAATGACGCCGTTTGCATCGAAAAGCCGCCAGGCGAATACCACTGTGACTGTCTGGAAGGATTCAAGGGAAAAAACTGTGACGGTATGTAGTATTGTCAACAGAAAAGTGTGCTGCGCTAACACCATTACTGGAAATGCATGAAAGAGCTCAGTCCCCAGGAAAAAATTAGAATTTGGAGTGTTGTTGAGCAGGAGTAGAAACTGGAAAACTCGTGGAAAACCTCTCAACATAAGAAGAACAATAACTACAAAGCGGTGTTACAATTTTTTCACATTCCTTTGCCCTGTGATTCGTCCAGAAAACCCCAACCATCTTCTCGAACAATCAGATGCAAAACTTAAAAGCAACACGCATCCCTTTTTGCGGCAGCCCTCATTACGAGTGATTGCTTAAAGTTCTCATTGGTTCCCAGCGACGTTTGTCTTAGAATTTGATCTTTTTCGCATAGCACAAAAAAATGACCAGAGTGCTAAAGAAGCATGAATCTAGACACGCTGATGACCATGACCTGTGGTAATAACAAAGCTTTTATTTACCTATAGAGATGGAGACTCCTTGTCAAAAGCAACCATGTCAAAACGGAGCCACTTGCGTGCGTAATGCTAAATCCTCGAAGTGGGAACGCAAATATACTTGTATTTGCCCAGAATGGTACAAGGGAAAGAATTGTGAGCGTAAGTACCATGCAACGATATATCAATGAGGACAAATGAACACAACAGATTTTTGGTCAATAGTCGACTGGTTAGTGCTGATTTATTGGCTATTGCAGTGGTCACAAATAACAAAAATTGTTTGGTTTATGCTCGCCACAACTATTTTTGTAAAGATATCTTATGTATTAAAATAGCTTTACTTTACAGGGAAGTTTTTTTTTAATGTTTAGTAAGATGACTAAACGTCTTATTGAACTTTGAAATGACGAGACTACTTGGAAATGACCCAAAATTATAAGAATAGACGTAAGGAGAAGGATATGACGTCTCTACAGGAAAGATGACAACTTAAAACGACCTGAGAAAAGATGATGTTGCGCGACTTGAAACGAAAAATCGAGTTAGGCCTCTCGGAAAGTGAAATGGACAATTTTGGTGGCAGAAAGGCTCTAAAAATTTTACATTCATGACAGCCTCATGGAAAAAATTAGTAACTTATCTTGATAAATATGTCCATGTGAATGGTTTATGATAGTTTCATCAATAATGGTTTCTTCCTTTCAGAAAAAATCTTTCCATGTAATAGCCATCCATGCCGCAGCCATGCTACTTGCATAGACGGTCTTAGTGATCCCTCAAACTTCACATGTAAATGTCCACCGTGGTTCACTGGGAAGTTTTGTGAAGGTGAGTTCAGTGACATTCCCATGGGCAGGTTTACCTTGACAGTTAACTTGACTAGCATTTCCTTAATATGTCTCTTTGGGGGAAATTTCGAAAGGGAGATTAAGAAAAAATTGGGACCCAATTTTCTGGTGTAGATATGATTTCGCAATCATGCAACCTATATATTATATATTCACCTTGATATGTCGGATTAAAGATTTGCTATTCAAGAAATTTTCTCACTTTTGGGCAACTAACAGTTACCATTCCTTTTAATCCACAGTAACTACCAACAAATGCGATGAGGAACCGTGCAACAACAGAGGATATTGTCTGAGTAAGAAAACAGACCCAGCCTGGTACCAATGCTTCTGCGAAGACTGGTTTGAAGGAACAAACTGTGAAAGTAAGTTTCGTAATGGATCTTGAGACAATTGCATGCCATAGGTAAGAGACAAATAGGTACTCTGCCAACCAAAAACAATTTTCTATCAACAACTTGTCAAGTGGCGTAGCGCCGTTGACTGTTGTTGTCAGACAAAGAAGAAAAATTGTCGAATTAGTCCCTGAAATCACAAAGGTTGAAATAAAATTGAACAAGCGCAGTTTTAGACGGAAAAGATATTTTCCTCCAATAGAAACAAGGTATCCATGGTTGAGGTCTATGAACCAATAGACCACGATGCAAGAACCAATTAAATACTCTTATTTTTCTCAAATCATGATCCGAGTGACCAGTCGATTCAAAAGAAAATACAATACAATACAATAATACAATACAATAATACAATACAATAAGAGTTTATTGTGAAAATACACTTAGCTACAATAATGGTGTGCTTTCACAGACGGAACCGAAATCGGGGTCTGTGAAAGCACGCCAGCTAATTTCCATTTATTCCACAAACACAATAAAGTTAAGAGTTGAAAAAAAAAAAAAAAAACTAGATATGGAATATTCTATAATTTAAAATTATAACAATAAAATCTTAATAAGTATATCTTATATCTAAATAAATACTAAATTCAACCGTGATGCTTTCCATAAGCGAACACGAACTTGTGAATATTTCTGAACCGGGGACTGACTCTTGAATGAACGAGCGTTTCAAAGACTTTTGACAAAGATGGAAGAGTGGTGAGAGTTCTGTAATTATCCTTGGACAGGCTGCAGTCTTTCTTATACACTGGAGTTATTTCGCCCTTTTTCCACTGTTTAGGGATTTTTCCAACGTCCAGAATATAATTAAAGAGAAAAAAAATGATTAGGTATAACCGATTAGGTATACTGTAGGTATATACTGTATACTGTTTGCAGGTATACTGTAAACGACCATTGATTATACTTTCACTCGTTTCCTTTTTTAGAGCAAATATATCCTTGCGACTTAAAGCCGTGCAAAAATGGAGCTACCTGCACCAATGACCCGGATGACATCTCATTACATCATTGTCAATGCCCAACCTGGTTTACTGGCCAAAATTGTGAAGGTTTGAGGATATTTTTTATTCGTCAAGCATTTTAATTGGGTAACGTCCTCATTAACCACCTTGCGTGCTATGCGCTCTCCTTATTTTTACGTTCGCCACACAAGGCGCTCGCGTGTTAGTATATAGCTATGCTGGCCATCCAGTTCCCTTTACGTAGGTGATAGAACCCAAGGGAAAAATAGAAAAAGTCTGATACCCACCTATATAAGATTCAGTCTACAATATCCTTAGGTGCCAATCAAGAGAAGGTATGAACCAGGAGATAACGTTATTCCATGGTAATTACATGGGGGAATTTCCTTTCCTGTCTTGGGAGTGAAATGGTTACACATTTACCAAGGAAAGTTAAGCTAGAACTGTGTAGCTCTCTCTTTCTCAGAAACATCATTTAGGAATCACGTCTGCTCATGCAATCAATCAATTTATTTGGTTTTATCAAATAACTTGATAAAAACTTGAAGTGAATTAAAAAGGTTGCAAAGCTGTCGTTTAGAGCCTCAGTCCCAAATTATCTTGTTATACTCCCCACCAACGAAGAATCCCGGTTTCTTAAGCAACTTACCCCTTTAATTATATTTGTCAAACCCGGGAATGTGGTCACCATCTAATTCCAAGCCATAGCTAGACTCACGCGCTTACATTAGTCATTATCGCTCAGATTTTGCCCTCAGGGCATCTATCCGCATATGGGTTGAACCTAAGGAGTACTTAGTTCTCCTGATGTCATATGCTTGATTCAACAGTGCAACTGACCTCCTGTGACAGTGACCCGTGTCAAAATGGTGGATACTGTAATAGTGATCCGAAGACACCTGATGTATATGAATGTCAGTGTGGGGATTGGTTCAAGGGTACCAACTGCGAAGGTAAGTGGGAAGGCTTGTTTAAACTGTCTTAGTTTCATTTAGTCTCTGTCTCCCTCCTCCAAGAGATTGACCCCAAGAAAGAATATGACATCAAACTGTAAAGAGAAAGATTGTAACCGAATGTAGTTCTGGTGTATTGTTGTCAGATGTACTTTAAAAGTTAGCAACATCAAGGAAACAACAAAAAAAAGTAACTTCCCCTTTTTCAAGGAAGAAAATGATCCAGTGTCAGGACTACCCAGTGGTACTTTGATGAGTAACTGCGCCTTAGGACCCTTTTTGTCTCTCTCTCTTCCCCCCCCCCCCCCTCGTGTTTAGGAGAGCGTGTGTTTTTCCGTTCCGTTATATTCAAGGTCATTCTTGCTCTATTAGTCGTCATCAATCCTCTATTCCTTCGTAGCTGGCGCATGATTAGGGCGTTGATAGTTACCGAGAGATTTTGAAATGAATAAACGTTAACTGAGAGATCAAGGCAATTTGCAAATTTTTACCGGCCAGAATTAATGTATATCAACAAATATAATTTGGTTTTATCAACTTGGTTGGCAAGGCAAATTTGCTACTTTCTTAAGCTGACGGCTCGAGCATTCGCAATTCGCTCTGCCGTAAGGCTAACGCTCGAAACGTCAGCCTCCGAAACTCTTTGCGGTCATTATCAAGTCAGTTGACCAAGTTATTTTGTCATACACCCTACCCGCAGCACCACAATCTTTAACAAACTTACTTCCTTTATACTAACAGAAACCTCAGCAGAACTATAACAGCACATTTTCCTTTCAGTTCAAATATTTCCATGTGACTCCAAGCCCTGCCTAAATGGAGCAGCCTGTAGGAATGATGAGACAGACATATCCGAATACCACTGTGACTGCCTGTCTGGTTTCTTTGGAAAAAAATGTCAAGGTAATAAAAATGTCCCCGTCTTAGTATATGTAACACGCTGAGCGGTTTTTTGCATATTTAAGCCTTTCCATCCATTTTAGAGATTTGGAAGGGTGAGCAGTTAGTTCTCGCGAAGTTATAACCTCAACTCTTAGGCTTTTTGTGAAAAAAAGGTTGTAAAGTTGGCATTCGTCACTAAAATTATGTTTACTTGTTCGATTCTGTTAATTGATCGTCCTGTAACCTCAATCGTTGGCGTCATTCTCGGTTAGGGAAAAATAAGCATGCGAGAAAGCTCTCATCAGCCTCAAAGAACGCGCGTTTCTCCGCCCGCCGCAACATTCGAGACTACTCAGAGAGAGGCTTGCAGGGGTGCTGACACAAGTTATCATTGCCTGACCTCTTGAGATTTCTCAGCGGCTCGAGTTGCAGGTTCATGTCTTCCCGGGCGAAGAAACCCTCTTGCCGAAGCGGTAGTAATTAGTTAGGACCTGCTTAAAGGCTAGGGGAAAAGTGTACACATATTTCACAACCCTTACTAGCGTCGTCGGAGAAAGCAGAAAACCTGACACCCCGGGTGGAAGAAAATTATGTCATAGGTTACAGAGTAGAGATTGTTTGAGTCAGAGCTGGTGTCAGAATGATCATCATACCTTTCATTTTAGTATAGGAAAATAATGAAGATAAAAATAAATGAAAAAAAATTGATATTAAAAATAGAGTTATGATCATGTGGCTTCATAACTATATTAAATCGTTACACGAGTAAAAATTTCTAAAAGTATTTAAAAAAATGATTTTAGAATCCCAACGCTTCGGCTAAGAAACTCCAGCCCTCATCAGGGGAAAGTGAAAAAGAGGAATTTAAAAAGAACAAAATATAGAGAGAAATGTAAAATTTGAACAGTTTGTTAATAATTAAGTCTTTTCCTCTGATGCCAAAGTCATATACTCGTGTGGCAAATCTAAGCCATCCTCTCAATTGAGCGGATTCCTGCAAATCTTTATCTCACATGCTTCTAGAGGGCTTCGGGACCGCTAATCTACATATGCGCGTAAGATCTTAGAAGATTTCCAGGCGACAGTATGGCAGAATGTAAACAATCTTATTTGGAGCACTCGTAGTTCTTTTCTTCGAGTATGTCTGTGTCATTCGCTGAATACAACATCTTTGGTTTACATCACCAGGCTTAATATTTACCATCTTCATTTGCATTATTGCGCAAACGCATCACATTCAACATTCCTATCCCAGCAGTATACAGGAGGTTTGTCTCTCTGGACCTCGTTAAACGGCCTAGTCTGCCACACTCTCCTATAGCTCAGTGAAGGAGCATCCGAAGTGCTAATCGGAAGGTCTTCGGTACGAGCACTCGGAATTCTTTTTCTCCGAGTCTGCCTGTTTCATTCACAGAATACATCATTCAATGTAAACACTGTTTCGCTAAGCTATCGTGATGTTTTTATAACTTTTTACCAGTGTGACGATTTTATATAGTAGAGATTGGTATCTTCTTGTCGTTTAATTTATCGATCTATGTTTTCCTTTATTTTTGAATTCATTTATTCGCTCGTGCATTTAATTATTTTCGTAGCTTCTCCTTTTTCTGAGATTGGTTGTTTCAAGACGCCGAAAACTGGTTTAAAAAGCATACTGGCAAATCACAACCAAGACTTCGATCCAGAAAAAATTAAATCGTATATTTATGAGTGTGGCGAACTTGCATTTGACAAAGGTTACAGTCACTTTGCCCTCGGAGATCGTGCAATTTGTTTGTCGAGTGGAACTGCTCAGAACGAATACTTCCAGAAAGGGGGAACCAAAGCCAGTGACTGTAAGGATGACATTGGAAGCAAATCTTCAGTCCATGTTTATACTTTTGGTGAGTAAAATTCGAAGAGATTCGAAGATTCTAACTTTAATAGACATTCGATACAACTCGAACAATTTGAGTCGGTTTATTTGACTAAAACCTGCTTTTTGAAAAAAGCTGAAATCTTTCCCAAATTTTTGGAGGTACTGATAAACTGGAAGGGCTAGAATAGACTAAAATTATGTACAGAGGTTAAGAATAGAGAAGACTACGATGGAATCGAAATAATGGACGCTCAAACCTATCGCGGTGGATGTGTTCTGCGGTAATCATTGGAAGTAAAAGTGATATTCGTTAGCCATCCCGTGTCGCTTCACAACGAAAGGATTTGCACATGTTCGACAAATTTTTAACGTCTACTCTGAAAAAGGAATATGATTCCAATTAACAATTGTATCAATTTCATTCTCAGAACCTTTACCGAAATCTGTCCCTGAGGGATGCTTCATGGAAAAAGGGAAATCAGAGAAGTTACTGACTGACAATTACGCAAGCTTCTCAAGTAACTCTGACCCCAAAGCCACTATTTTGTACTGTTCTACTCTGGCTCGAGACATGGGCTACGAGTACTTCGCTGTACAAAACGAGGTACAATGCTGGACCAGTAAAGACATCGCTAATACGTACAGCAAGTACGGAAAGTCCGACAACTGTGCAGGTGGAGTTGGCAAAGAGATGGCAAACTTTGTGTATCGTATTCAAGCCTCGTATTCATATCCAACTGGTTGTGACGATGATCCTTGTCAAAACGATGGGTTTTGTGTGGTGGACAACAATGATCCTATGCAGTACTCGTGTGAATGTAAGGAAATGTTCAGTGGAAAGAACTGCGAAGGTTGGTGTGATTTAAACGAGATATGGTTGATCTACTATCAGGTATTAACTATGTTTATATACAAACTTCTCTTGGAAAGTTTTCATCTTTACTTATTTTAAATTATTTCCTAGTGCGGTCTTATGCATGTGATAGCCAACCTTGTAAGAACGGGGCAGCTTGCCGCAACGACGAAAAAGATATCACAAAATACCACTGCGATTGTACGGACGACTTTAGTGGAGTCAATTGTCAAGGTAATAGGAAAAGTGATTCGAATAACTTGCAATTAATTGCAGAGGTATTCCATGACGCTTTCTGAACGTAAATGAATAATTTTGGACGTATCATCGAAAAAAAACCTCATCAGGGATGCTCAATAAAGTGTTTGCATGTTAGTATCTATGTAAGTAGATATGACGTCCACATTGTTGTGTGAGATGGACTGCAATTATAGATCTTGAAAGAGAGAAAAGTCAGTTCCCGCTGTCTTTATTCTTTTTGCTTCAACATTAATTTGCACATACGTATTCCGATATTGATAGATTGTTGGTTTTTGTAATTCTAGTTCCTTCTTTTGCTGAAATTGGCTGTTTCAAAGCACCAAAGTCCGGTCTTAAGGAGGTACTTACATCTCCGAAGGGATTTGATTCAAAGAAAGTAAAAACTTACATATATGAATGCGCCGAGCTGGCATTCGACAAAGGTTACAGCCATTTTGCATTGGGCAATCAAGGAAACTGCCTTTCGAGTAAAACCGCCGATAAAGAATACTTTGAAAAAGGAGGAACCAGTCCTAGTAGCTGTAAGGATGGCATAGGGAGTAAAATGGCAGTCGACGTGTATACCTTTGGTGAGTAGGACGCAAACACAAACTACAGCTACAGTGCAAGAATGATAACGACTGTGGAGGCTCTTCCCACCCTTTCAACGTCCTCAACAATCAGTCCATTGATGACTGGTATACAAAATATCACCTTTGAAAACGTAAATAAAATATGAAGGAGTTTTGAAAGACAAAATCTTGTAATTTCAATCTTTTTTATTCAAATAAAAATTCTATTTTTTTTTCAAAGAACCTCTTTAGTATTTCGAGAGACCGAAATACTTGTACAAAATTTTATTTGCAAACTGAGGTTACGTTGCTAAGAAGACTACTCTACCTTCAAATATGTCCCTTTCGATGACACAAACGTGATTCTAATCGTCAAAACTATTTTCTCTTTAACCAGATCAGGCCCCTAAATCTGTTCCACAAGGCTGTTTTGTGGAAAAAGAGAAGACAGAGAAGTTGCTTACTGATAATTTTGCCAGCTTCCCTAGTAACTCGGATCCAAAGGCCACTGTTGTTTACTGCTCTACTCTAGCTCGAGACATGGGTTATCAGTATTTCGCTGTGCTGGATCAAGTCCAATGTTGGACTAGTAAAGACATAGCTAACATATATAACAAGTACGGAAGGTCTGACAATTGTGCAGGTGGAGTTGGCAAAGAGATGGCAAACTTTGTGTATCGTATTCAACCCTCGTATTCATATCCAACTGGTTGTGATGATGATCCTTGTCAGAACACTGGGTTTTGTGTGGTGGACGAGGATGATCCTAAACAGTACTCGTGTGAATGTCAGCAAATGTTCAGTGGGAAGAATTGTGAAGGTTACTCTCAACATAATTTTAGGCTTTGTAGCTTTTTCGACACAAAGAGCTTGGAAAAAAACATTTTCAGTTCATAATTTTTGTCTATTCTTTTTTTTTTGAAGTACAATCTCTTCCATGTGATATCAACCCTTGTAAGAACGGAGCCACTTGTCGTAACGATAAGAAAGACATCACAAAATACCACTGTGATTGCGCGGGCGACTTCACTGGTGTCAATTGTCAAGGTAAGCTCTATTGGACAAGAAAAGTCCTTTTAAAACAGCGTCTTCTACTGATCGAAGGCACTTTGAACCCATAACAAGGATCTGGTACTATATGAGTACCTCGAAGCTCAGTCCTTTAATCTCGCCGGCGAAATGAATTAACTTCTGTTTCCGGTAAAACCTTCCATTTTGAATACGCTGGAGTTGTTTCCTCAGTGAATGTAAGCGAAACTAAGTTTCCTTCTTAAAGTCAGAAACTGCCACGGAGATAACGCAATTAAACCTAAAATCAGTACCAGAGTGTTATTTATGGAGAGTAAATTCTCTTTTGTGGACGATAACGAACTGTAAAATGTTAAGCTCATTGTGATTAGACAGTCGCGCCATTTGACCAGAGGAGATGAGCATAGCCGCCTGTCAATGTTAATACGTGCACTTTCCTTTTGAATTCTAGTGTCATCATTCATTGAAATTGGTTGTTTTAAGAAACCAAATTCTGGTTTGAAGGAAGTACTTGCGAGTCATTTCAAGGACTTTCATCCAGCAAAAGCGAAATCAAAAGCTTATGTCAAAGAATGTAGCGAGTTGGCATCCCAGAAAGGTTACAAATACTTTGCCTTGGGTGACAAAGGAAGCTGTTTATCCAGTGCAACTGCTAACAACGAATACCACTTGAAAGGAGGCACTAGTCCCAAGGATTGTAAAGACGGCATAGGAAGTAAATCTACAGTTGATGTTTATACATTTGGTGAGTTGAAATCGAATGTGGACTGTAATCAAAGGTGCCTTTGAAAATACTTTGCAGCCACGCTCTTTCCTTCTTGTTTTTCATGAGTCTAATTTGTGGACGGTTCTTACTATGCAGCCAAACACCCACGAATAAGTTTTCATTACATGTAAGTTTGGAAAACGAGACAGAAAGCTTTCCTTGAGTCTTATCGTTCAAGCAAAGGCTTATTTGGTTCTGGCGCTTGTACTAAATACTTAGGTGGATGAAACCTCATCAGTACCTGTCTTTTTTAATTTTCTTTTGATTTGACTATCTTTTATTCGTTAATTTTGATCTTCTGTCTGACGGTCTGTATATCCGCCTGTCTTTTATTTTTAGCTGTGAAAACATATATGGAGATGATCATTGCTTTTGATATTCTAATAACCTTTTCCCTGCACCATCGCATGAAATTTGATTCAAATTCTTCATTTTAATCTTTCTCTAGCATCTTCACCCAAATCTATTCCACAAGGCTGTTTTGTGGAAAAAGAGAAGTCAGAGAAGTTACTGACAGACAACTATGCCAGCTTTTCAAGTAACTCTGACCCCAAAGCTGCTATTGTGTACTGTTCTACTGTAGCCCGAGATAAGGGCCACAAGTATTTCGCTGTACGAAATAAGATCGAATGTTGGACCAGTAAAGACATTGCTGACACGTACAATAAGTACGGAAAGTCCGAAAATTGTGCAGGTGGAGTTGGCAAAGAGATGGCAAACTTTGTGTATCGTATTCAAGCCTCGTATTCATATCCAACTGGTTGTGATGATGATCCTTGTCAGAACACTGGGTTTTGTGTGGTGGACGAGGATGATCCTAAACAGTACTCGTGTGAATGCCAGCAAATGTTCAGTGGGAAGAATTGTGAAGGTTACTCTCAACATAATTTTAGGCTTTGTAGCTTTTTCGACACAAAGAGCTTGGAAAAAAACATTTTCAGTTCATAATTTTTGTCTATTCTTTTTTTTTGAAGTACAATCTCTTCCATGTGATATCAACCCTTGTAAGAACGGAGCCACTTGTCGTAACGATGAGAAAGACATCACAAAATACCACTGTGATTGCGCGGGCGACTTCACTGGTGTCAATTGTCAAGGTAAGCTCTATTGGACAAGAAAAGTCCTTTTAGAACAGCGTCTTCTACTGATCGAAGGCACTTTGAACCCATAATAAGGATCTGGTATTATACGAGCACCTCGGAACTCAGTCCTTTAATCTCGCCGGCGAAATGAATTAACTTCTGTTTCCGGTAAAACCTTCCATCTTGAATACACTGGAGTTGTTTCCTCAGTGAATGTAAGCGAAACTAAGTTTCCTTCTTACAGTCGGAAACTGCCACGGATATAACGCAATTAAACCTAAGATCAGTACCAGAGTGTTATTTATGGAGAGTAAATTCTCTTTTGTGGACGGTAACGAACTGTAAAATGTTAAGCTCATTGTGATTAGACAGTCGCGCCATTTGACCAGAGGAGATGAGCATAGCCGCCTGTCAATGTTAATACGTGCACTTTCCTTTTGAATTCTAGTGTCATCATTCATTGAAATTGGTTGTTTTAAGAAACCAAATTCTGGTTTGAAGGAAGTACTTGCGAGTCATTTCAAGGACTTTCATCCAGCAAAAGCGAAATCAAAAGCTTATGTCAAAGAATGTAGCGAGTTGGCATCCCAGAAAGGTTACAAATACTTTGCCTTGGGTGACAAAGGAAGCTGTTTATCCAGTGCAACTGCTAACAACGAATACCACTTGAAAGGAGGCACTAGTCCCAAGGATTGTAAAGACGGCATAGGAAGTAAATCTACAGTTGATGTTTATACATTTGGTGAGTTGAAATCGAATGTGGGCTGTAATCAAAGGTGCCTTTGAAAATACTTTGCAGCTACGCTGTTTCCTTCTTGTTTTACATGAGTCTAATTTATGGATGGTTCTTACTATGCAGCCAAACACCCACGAATAAGTTTTCATTACATGTAAGTTTGGAAAACGAGACAGAAAGCTTTCCTTGAGTCTTATCGTTCAAGCAAAGGCTTATTTGGTTCTGGCGCTTGTACTAAATACTTAGGTGGATGAAACCTCATCAGTACCTGTCTTTTTTAATTTTCTTTTGATTTGACTATCTTTTATTCGTTAATTTTGATCTTCTGTCTGACGGTCTGTATATCCGCCTGTCTTTTATTTTTAGCTGTGAAAACATATATGGAGATGATCATTGCTTTTGATATTCTAATAACCTTTTCCCTGCACCATCGCATGAAATTTGATTCAAATTCTTCATTTTAATCTTTCTCTAGCATCTTCACCCAAATCTATTCCACAAGGCTGTTTTGTGGAAAAAGAGAAGTCAGAGAAGTTACTGACAGACAACTATGCCAGCTTTTCAAGTAACTCTGACCCCAAAGCTGCTATTGTGTACTGTTCTACTGTAGCCCGAGATAAGGGCCACAAGTATTTCGCTGTACGAAATAAGATCGAATGTTGGACCAGTAAAGACATTGCTGACACGTACAATAAGTACGGAAAGTCCGAAAATTGTGCAGGTGGAGTTGGCAAAGAGATGGCAAACTTTGTGTATCGTATTCAACCCTCGTATTCATATCCAACTGGTTGTGATGATGATCCTTGTCAGAACAATGGATTTTGTGTGGTGGAAAAAGATGATCCTATGCAGTACTCGTGTGAATGTCAGCAAATGTTCAGTGGGAAGAATTGTGAAGGTTAGTGTCGATCAAAGAAGAGACTTTTCATTGTGATCGGTTCACCGAGCATTATTCAAGGGGTTTAAGCTACGAGAGATTCCAACATGTTGCTATGTTTTGATGATTTCAGTTCAGTCCTATCCGTGTGATAGCGATCCATGTGTAAATGGAGCAGCTTGCCGTAACGATGAAGAAGACATCACAGAATACCACTGTGATTGCACAGGCGACTTTAGTGGAGTCAATTGTCAAGGTTGGTGATCGAATGGTGAAACAAAATACTTGAAAAGTGTATGTAATAAAGCATTTATCCATTTGACGTCTTTCTCTGTGCATGGTAGAAAAAAGGGCAGTTCATGCTACATAGATCTTTGCTGTAAGGTAAAAATTCTCCAACGATCTCAACCTGTCTAGAGAGCGTTCGCTGAAAGATCCGAGAAAATACGAGGGACAGACTATTAGAAAAATGGGGAAAAAAACAACAAAAAAAGGTGCATAAAGAGAAAAAAAAGCGGTTTTCCTCCTTAGAAATACAAGCCATATTTTTTCTGCATCTCCAAAATCCCCAATTCTCCACCCCTCCCCCCATCACTTTTCCAATACTCCATCCCAGTCCTGAAAAATCGTACTTTGACATTGAACACTTTGACTTAAAAGGCAAAAAAGGAACTGTTAAATGTGCAGCTAGTTAAATTAGTTAGTGGTAAGCACAGTTTAGAAGTTATCATTGAGAGAAAATAAAAATGTCTTAAAGCTATAAAGCTAGCCACCTCGTCCTAAGTCTCTCAAACATAACATACAATTTAGCGACTTGTTGAGTAATATAAATCTGTTTTAGTGAACATGTGTAAAAAAGAACAGCCTTTTCGCTTCACGTTCGTTTTGTTTTTATCCTAGTACCATCTTTCAATAATATTGGTTGTTTCAAGATACCGAAGACTGGTTTTAAAGAAGTTCTTGCATATCCTAACAAAGACTATGATCCAGCAAACTTCAATAGTTACATTCTGGAGTGTGCAGAGCTTGCATTTGATAAAGGTTACAGCCATTTCGCACTGGGCGATAAGGGAAAATGCTTGTCCAGTAGCACTGCTAAAAACAATTACTACGCGAAAGGGGCCGCTGCTGCCAAAGATTGCAAGAATGGTATAGGAATAAAATTTTCCATCCAAGTGTATACATTTGGTGAGTTTAAAGTGAAAGCGAATGAATAACACAACAATCTGAGTAGCTAGCTTGTGACATATGTTTCTTCATTGACCCTGGGTATTACTTGGCTATAACATTGGCTCTGGGTTACCGTCAGGAAAGGTTGAAGGAGACGCAAGTCTGGTCCAGTTGTAATAGCGGAGTTCACAGAGCGTAGCCCCATAATTATACAAAATAGTAGTAACCCATCAAGCCGAAAAAATTTGGATGTACGACCGTACGACCGTACAAGGTGCTACTTTTAACATGCGTGGTCAACTGTACCGCGGGCACGCCAACACCACGGTTTTGTTCAGTAGTCCAGTGGTCAGTCCACTCGGCTCTAAGTCGGACGACCTGGGTTCTAGTCCCGGTCGGGGTAAGGCGTTGTGCCCTTGGGACGTGCGGGAAAAAAAAATGCAAGCTCCGCTTTTAGGCTTGGCTAAATCTATATATTATGTTGTTAAGATGACAAAAATTAAAATTATAAAAGTGGTGAATTGCAACTAGGATGATAGCGGCCTGCTAATAGCGAGCCCTCTAAAATCACTTTCCTCTAGAACACTTCTTAAGCTGAAATGCTCCTTAGTTAATGACGAATGAAAACTGGCACAACAGAGACTATCAACTTCCCATTTTTTTTTCCAGAGTCAAAGCCAACGCCTAATGCAATTGGCTGTTTCAAGGAGAACAAAGGCTCTAAGAGGCTTCTCAAAGATAAATTTGCGACCTTCGTGGCTCAACGAAATGATGACGATCCCGGGTATACAATCCTGCAATGTGCATACGTCGCACGTGACAAGATGATCGAATACTTTGCGTTGCAAAACAATGGCGAGTGCTGGACGGACAAAACATTAGGAGAGGCTTACAATACCTACGAAGTAGCGGAAGATAGCAATTGTAAAGATGGTATTGGCGGTGTTCTGACTAATTATGTTTATCAATTAAAGTAAGTACATAGAACTAAGATGCGTTTCAATGCAATGTATTGCATTGCGCGTTCTGATCGTCGATCTTCCCTCCGCTTAGAGAACCTAAACAAACTTTTATATTACTTATCGACTTTGCTCCGGTGAATTCAACGAATACTTGTCATCTTAACTTTTAATTTATTTATTTCTGCTTGCTCCGATGGTGCAATTCCACAATCTCGACAGATATAAACGTACGTACCCGACCCACAGTTCTCTACTTTGCTCTGCATGGAAGATTAACGTGAGCTTTTCGAAATTCTTTCCTGCGGTTATTCATTGCATTTATCAGCTTCGAACAGATAACTAATCACGTGTACTTCTGAGAAACAGTTCGGGAAAGTTTAGAGAACACTATTAGAAATGGCCGATTTGTCTCAAAGGTAAATCCACATTTTCTTAAAACCCGTATGGTGGACTATCTTTCTCAATTTTTTTCTCGTTCAGAACTGAACCAAATAAGTTTATAAATCCCTTTTTGTTAAAATTAAGAAGTAAATATTTATCGACCAATCATCTGAGCAGAAACGATGAGAAACGGTCGATCGTTGAAATAAAAAATTATTTCCTCTTCTATATAATAAATGTCTTACTGACTTCATTCTGTCTGTCCATACTATAAATTAGAGAACTTGTTTTTTTTTTTGCGCTCGGCATTAAGGCCCGCGCAGTTCGCACCATAAATCAGAGAAGAAAAAGCTCAGTCTTTGACTTATAGTACGGACCTCCTCCTAGCCTCTTACCTCTAAATTTCGTTCTCTTTTTCTTATTCCAAAATTCTTTTCACTATGCGTTTGTTTGTTGGGTAAATTTAAGTTAAGAATTTTAACTTATCGACGAATATCTTTTTTATTCTTTCTATTTTCAGGATGTAGCCGTTCAATGTAGGGCCCCAAGTGTTGGAGAGCTTACAACCTCCTAGCCGTGAAGAGGTCTGGGTGTTAGACTAGAGACTAGGGGAATACCTGATTAGCTTGCTATATTATGCCCTTCGCCATTTTCTTTATCTTGTTGTAATTATTCAAAGGTTGTGATTGTTGAAATGGAGGAAATAATAAGAATAATGGTAACAATACTAATAAACAAAAGATTAAACCACCGTGACAGCACCCTCCTGAGAGACATCTTGAGGCGTGACTGTTTCCGTTTGTCGAAGATTTCCCTCCACCCTGGTTCCAATCGTTCTCCCTTTAGTTTCTGGTTTATAATTAGACCCCGTCCACACACATGTCTCCAGACTTAAGTGAAGAGGTCAACGGATCATTCTCAACAGTGAGACTCTATCACAAGGTGTCGCTTTATTAAGCTGTGATTTCTTCGAAACTTTCTCCAACGTACCGAATTTACTGAAGTTCAATTTAAGGAAGGTTTTCTCTTTTTTGTCGTGAAATCTGTGAAACGCTATAATTTGCTTGTTAATCATTCATTTGTTAGTCTTTGGAAGGGTTTTCTTATTCAGCGCATCATATTTCTCGTACTGATGAAAAAATTTCAAGCGTGACTATTAAAAGAACTCTTATGAGACGCGCAGAGAAATTAGCTGCTGGCGTATGCTGTTCTTTTTGTTGATTTGTCTATGCAAGGAGTCGAAAATTCGAATGCTTCATCGGCGACTACAAGTAAAATTGTTTTAAGTGCGTACGCTGAATTTCTTACTAGCATAGCACTTGTCTAGGCTCGATAATCGGCCGCTGTTCTGGAATATGAGCCCGCGCTCCTCCCCTACCCCTGCCCCCGAACCCGGAGAGGAGCAAAGACCGGACACCAGAGAGGGATGGAAATCGAGCCGAGCACTTGTCTAGCACTAGTAAGAAAATACCTGTCAAAGATTGAATCCACTTCATCCCGGTAATCAATGTTTAAAAACCCCAAGTGACAAGATCAAGATGGCGGATGAAGGACACGCGCTGGACTTGGACTTCCATCAGGCCCAAAATCATGTGAGAAAGCTCTGATTCGTCCTCTCTCCAAACGGATGAATGGACTTCGCTTTCAGTTGTGGATTGACTTCATTGTCTGATTTCGTCATGTTGCAAGATTTAGGGCATGATTTAAATGAACTGTATTATGTGGGATAATCACTCTTCCGCTTAATAAATTGTTATGCCATCGTATTTCCATTTTTATATTTTTTCGGTACGGAAGTTCGCCCTTCCATACCGAAAAAAATAAAACAATGGAAATACGATGGCATGCCAATTTATTAAGTGGATTTATTAAGTGGGAGAGTGATTATCCCACATTATACAGTTCATGTTTCACGATTCTCGCACGCACGTGCGGTGTATCTTGAAAACGGGGAGAGAAATAGTAAGGGAGAGAAAAAATCCTTGCCTAAAAAATATCAAAATTTTATTAGAATAGCCACTACAGTCGCAACACCCTCGCTGACAAAATTGTTTACCCTCCCCCTGCTCTTGAAGTGTTAGCCGTAACAGCCGGATCCTGCCGGAACAAACTTATTTATGACGTCACAGTCCTTTAGCGACCTTGATCAAAGATCGAGGAATCGTTCACTCACTGACGTGTTCGCTTCCACTGAACTCTTACAAACCCCTTTTTTCAGAACATTACAAGGCTAAAAATAGATGAAACATTGCCGCAGGCGTGTTGAGTCGTGAAAATTCTGTCTGGTTTGGGATTTGGACGGCGTAAAAAGTGGAGTGATTAGTGAAATGCGCGCGCATGCTAACGGCGGGTTGCAAAAGTCGCGTGGACTTTGTACGATTACAACGTACATCTTCTTATTAATGATCACACTCTGTTGACACTACATGAGTAGTATGGAAACCTCTTTGGTAGAGAAGGTGTTTCTCTTCGGCCTTAACGTTGCCGGTTGGTTGTGGGGTATTGTGAGCTTTTTACCGTGGTATTATTTTGTCGGTAGAAAGCAGTATCGACCCAAACATAATGTACAAGCTTTACCAGTTAAAGATTGTCCCGGTGGACCATATCGATGTGTAGAACATCTCAGCTCTTTGAAGACTTCTCTCTACGATGGTGTCACAACTTTGGATCAGATGTTCAAGTGAGTAACAATTCGAAGTTTTGATTTGAATTGTATTTGCGAGGAAAAAATGTAATTTGTGTTACGCGAGCCTGAAATTGTCGAGTATGAGTGTAAATTACGATGGCTCAGTATTGTAAAAACTAAATTTTCCGTTCGATGTAAATACATGCGACCAAAAGCATGGCAGAGGTTTTAGATTTCAGTTCAATAGGTCAACATTTTGTACCGCGGTTTTGAAACGATGTATCTTGAAATTTTATGTGTCTCGAAAATAACAATTTTTCTTGAGAACTGAAACCTGTTTCGAGTTAATTTTCGAGTTTTGGAACTTGAATGTCAATGTCTGATGTTAATTTCTCATGGCCTCTATCACTTGGTACATAGTACACCTAGCAAGGCCATTCAAGGTTACCGTAGATTCTAACTATATTGATCAAAGATCAAAGGTTATTTTTACATTTTGTCGACATCGTGTGTTCATAGTGTTTCGGTAACAGGCATAAAACACGTAGCATGGACAAATCCTAGATTGTTGCATGCCCAAGTCAAGTGTGTTTTTTTGTGTGATTTTTTGTTACGAACATTGTGCCAAGATATTTACTTTGCCATTTGTCTTATGATATTGATATTCCTTTGAAGTATCGCGATACTAGAACAAAACAAATTTAAGCTGTTTTGCGAGTCGGTGGGGTCGGATATACCAATTTTAATTAGTCTTGTCTTGTCGAGTTTTAAATTTAAGGACTGGATTTGTTGGAAAAGCACTTAACCACGTATGGGGATAGGATGTTAATTCCCTGTGGAAAATTCAAAATTATTGTATCCATGACTGCACTTGTATAGAAAGCAACGAGAAGAGATCTTTCTCTGAAGATTTATAAGAATATCATTTCTCAGACTTACGGAGATCTCGCATGATTTACCAGACACAATATCCGTGGTTGTGTACAAGATTTCAACATTTCGCTGTAAGTCATTCACGCCAAATTATTCATCTTTCATCCCCTGGGTTGGCAATGTTAAGTGAATCATTTGTTGTCAATGGCGAACTGTTAAGACTGCAAAGCATTAAAAACTGAGACAAATTCCTGTTGATTGTTAATTTGTCTGGGACTTACTCAAAATAAATCATTTATCCTATAATCCTTCAGCTGGGAAATACTTACGAATTATCTTTGTAAATGATAAGCTGACCAAGAAACAGCAATGTGCTTGTTGTCTACATGTTTGAAGTTTGAAAGCTTCATATAACTTTCTAGTCCTTTCAAAGCTCATTGCAAGGTTTTCCTTTTACTCTATCTTGTGATACAAATATATTGCAATGTGGCCCACAAAAATTCCCTCCAATGTGACTGGCATACAATACAGTTTTGCTTTCATCACATGCAATCTAGATATTAACCTTCCATAATTTGTTCCATGTAACTGTCAATTTTGGCTGTCATCAAATACTGTACTCTCTTGCCAGAAAACTACTAAACTCCCATGATTGTGTCATATATAGATTCTCTTTGAGTTGCCACACTTTTCCTTTTTAATTAGATGAGTAAAGATTTGTGGTGAGATCAAGAAAGCATTAGTCTGGTCATATTTCTATCAGGATCATGTTTCTCCATACTAAAGGCATAAAGGATTGGAGAATTCTCTTGATAATCTGCAGAATACTTTTGCTAAATTTGAATGGTTGGGCTATTCTTTATTCCGACATGAGGATATTCTCTTGTCAATTTACGATATTCTCCTGCTGATGCAATTCTTACTGAAAACATCACTGCATAAGGACATAGTATATGTGTTCTGGAATTCAAAGTGACAATCACTGAGAGAGGAGTGTTGTAATTTACTGAAGGCTTTGTAAATGTAAAATTTCAAACAATCTTATCCTCTAACATCAACACTACGTTAAATCTTAATTTAGGATTCCCACTTCATTAATTTATGGATGGGTTTTCTCAACAAATAAATATAGGAG